ATAAAATGCAGGCCAAAATGTATACTCTATTTTTAAAAGGGTTTTTTACGAGTCTTAATATACAGAAAAATGCTTTTAGGCTGTTTTAAAAATTCTATGCAAACAGCTGGTTGTCAGCTTAAACATCACCCTGCTGCGTGGGAAACCTGTATTCCACAGCTGATTGAAGTGCATCTAATTAGCTAATAGCGTAGGCGTGATTGTTAACATTTGTTCACTTCTGTTCCTTTAAGAATCGATATAGTTAAGCAGCAAAGGGGGTGGGGGGATAATAGTTTTGTCTCATAAATAACTGAGGGGTAGAATTTTAAAGGACCCAAAAGGCAGTTGGGTAACAAAGGAGTTGCCTGTAGGAGAAAGAGTTAGCAGAGCCATCCCATTCATAGGGAGGTTTGGGGGCGACTGCTCCAGGCCTCATACTTTTAGGGCTCCAGGCAGCTACCTCAACCATCCTATGTACAAGAGGAACCTGGGGACTTACAGGGGGTCTGCTGCAGAGTGGAAGCAGGAGTCACCTCCCCACACTCACCAGGGTGATGGGAGCCAGAGCGGCCTGGCAGCCTTCTCTGTCCTGCCACCTTCTCCCAGTTCACTGGGGTTGGCTTCTCACAGTGTCGCTATTTCGGGTCCTGGGGAAGGGGTGGAACGGGGGAGGGCCTACGGCAGGGGGTTGCCCCAAGCCTCCCACCCCTCTCGGGACGACTCTGTTTGCTAATACAGGCCTTCTGATAGTTCCCCTTTGTGGAACTGCATCTTATATCTGCAAAATGTTCCCCAAAAGGAATAAGCTACAGCAGAACCTCAGAGCTATGAACAGAAGTTATTAACGGACTGGTCAACCACACACCTCATTTGCAATCAGAAATACGCAATCAGGCAGCAGCAGAGACAGAAACAAAAAAAGAAAATCCCATACAGTCCTGTGCTAAACAGAAACTACTAAAAATACAAGGAAAGCTTAAAAAAGGTAAAGATCAGGTAAAAAAACCTGTTCCTGTGCCTGTTTCATTGAAGCGAAGAAGGTTAAAAGCAGCTTTTTTCTTCCGCGCAGTAAAGTTTCATAGAATCATAGAATAATAGGACTGGAAGGGACCTCGAGAGGTCATCGAGTCCAGCCCCCTGCCCTCAAGGCAGGACCAAGCTCCGTCTACACCATCCCTGACAGATGTCTATCTAACCTGTTCTTAAATATCTCCAGAGAGGGAGATTCCACCACCTCCCTTGGCAATTTATTCCAATATTTGACCACCCTGACAGTTAGGAATTTTTTCCTAATGTCCAATCTAAACCTCCCCTGCTGCACTTTAAGCCCATTACTCCTTGTCCTGTCCTCAGTAACCAAGAGGAACAAGTTTTCTCCTTCCTCCTTGTGACACCCTTTTAGATATTTGAAAACCGCTATCATGTCCCCCCTTAATCTTCTTTTTTCCAAACTAAACAAGCCCAGTTCATGAAGCCTGGCTTCATAGGTCATGTTCTCTAGACCTTTAATCATTCTTGTCGCTCTTCTCTGTACCCTTTCCAATTTCTCCACAAAGTTGTATTAATTCGGGGTTTGGGTGGAAACTTTCGAAAGAACCACCGCCATGTTTTGTGCAGAGCTGCGTGTGCCCTCCAGGTCCAAGGTGTTCATAACTCTGAGATTCCATTATACTGATAAAAGGCAGCGTGGCCAACAGGTCCCTGGGCAAGGTGGGGTGGGGGCTGCTTTGCACCCCTGGAAAGGGCAGGACCTTTGGTAGAAGGGGCAGGACTAGGCTACTCAGAGAGTGTTTGCAGAGCTCCAGCAGCCATTTAAAGGGCCCAGGGCAGCAGCTGGGACTCTGGGCTCTTTTGTATTGCTGGGAGCCGGAGCAGCGGCCCCTTTTGCCTCCCCTGTCAGCAGGCCTGGCAAAAGGACACTCTTGCTGGATGTATACCCATCAGGTTAGGATTATTTCTCCCCACACCCCTAACAGACACTGCTCCGCCAGTGAAACTTCCTCATGCAGATCAGAGCTCGTTGCCATCTGCGCCTTTGCAGCTATCGCCCTAACACCATACATTCTGATCAGCTGTTTGGTACAACCAGCCGGCCCCTTCTTCTCCAGGCGATGGGTCACTGAAAGAGACTTAGAGTCCTGTTGCAGTTACTGAGCGTTTTGCCATCGACATCTCAGCTATTTCGGGATACCGGAAGTATCCGGAAATAGCAATTCCGTGTCTTTAAACGCACCCATTATTTCAAAATAGATTTAGAAATAATGGGTGCGCTATTGTCCCCGAAATGCTCGTTCCACGAGGGTTAAGGGATTTGTCGGGATAGGGCTTTCTTTCAGAATTTGCTGCTGTGTAGACAGTGCCAAATTGCTAAATAAGCTATTTCGAAATTACCTCAAAATAAGCTACGCAATTTCCGTAGCTTATTTCAAGATAAGGGTGCTGTGTAGAGGCACCCTAAAAGGAGTGGGATGTGACCCAAAATGCAATACCGATGAAACTTTGAGGAGCCCCCAACTTGTCTCTCTCCAGTCAGAAAACTCAATCAAAAGCACAGTGCATTGAAGGTTTTTATTAAAGATAGAACCCAGGCTGTCACATAACAGCACTGCTGAATAGCTTTTTCTTTCTTTCCTTGTAGAAAAACCAGTATCTTTCCTGCTAGAACCTGACAAACTCCGTCAGAGCATCCAGACTTGTGAAAAGGTAAGGAGACCCTTTTCTGTGCACCACTGCATTGTTTTGCACTAGTTGATGTGGGTAATTTCCTCCCCTAATGTTCAGCAGTCATAGAATCATAGGACTGGAAGGGACCTCGAGAGGTCATCGAGTCCAGCCCCCCGCCCTCAAGGCAGGACCAAGCTCCGTCTACACCATCCCTGACAGATGTCTATCTAACCTGTTCTTAAATATCTCCAGAGAGGGAGATTCCACCACCTCCCTTGGCAATTTATTCCAATATTTGACCACCCTGACAGTTAGGAATTTTTTCCTAATGTCCAATCTAAACCTCCCCTGCTGCACTTTAAGCCCATTACTCCTTGTCCTGTCCTCAGAAACCAAGAGGAACAAATTTTCTCCTTCCTCCTTGTGACACCCTTTTAGATATTTGAAAACCGCTATCATGTCCCCCCTTAATCTTCTTTTTTCCAAACTAAACAAGCCCAGTTCATGAAGCCTGGCTTCATAGGTCATGTTCTCTAAACCTTTAATCATTCTTGTCGCTCTTCTCTGTACCCTTTCCAATTTCTCCACATCTTTCTTGAAATGTGGCGCCCAGAACTGGACACAGTACTCCAGCTGAGGCCTAACTAGTGCAGAGTAGAGTGGCAGAATGACTTCACGAGTTTTGCTTACAACACACCTGTTGATACAACCTAGAATCATTTTTGCTTTTTTTGCAACAGCGTCACACTGTTGACTCATGTTCAACTTGTGGTCCACTATGACCCCTAGATCCCTTTCCGCCATGCTCCTTCCTAGACAGTCGCTTCCCATCTTGTATGTATGGAACTGATTGTTCCTTCCTAAGTGGAGCACTTTGCATTTCTCTTTATTAAACTTCATCCTGTTTACCTCTGACCATTTCTCTAACTTGCTAAGGTCATTTTGAATTATGCAGTGGAGGGGAAAGAAATCAAGGCCATAAAAGATCACTGTAGATCTCCATGGCCCATGAGGGCAGGGGACTGGACTCGATGACCTCTCGAGGTCCCTTCCAGTCCTAGTGTTCTATTCTATGATGCTTGACACAACTGAGATCACAAAGCAGTAGAGGAAAGGAAACTGAGCAGAGAAAAAAATGTTCTTTAACTAGAGTTAAGCTGGAAAGTATGTGCCATTACAGTAAGATTTAAAATGCCTTTCAAGAACACTAGCTTTCAGAATCATAAGTTGGAAATCCAAGACATTTGTAGTAATATAAATTATTTTTAGTATTATTATTCCTCGTCACAGAATGGTCTAAATAATGAAAAAGTCATTCTGCTTAAAGTTTCAAGATATCAGTGCTAAAGCTCCAAATGAGCTCATTTAGGTTTTTTCAGTTTGGTGTCTCCTCCCTAATATTTGTAACAAGAAACCCTTTCAAATGGAAAAAAAATCTAAGTCACTGTCAAAATGTGTAGCTGTTGCCTAATGAGTTTGCTCACACTTAAAACAAGTCTTTTGCAGGAATATTTTTTTTAAATCATGGAAAAACTGGGGAGTTTGTGGATGAAAAACTTGAAAACGTGCCCCCAGAGGATTAAAAACAAAAAGGAAAACCAACAAGAACCCAAAATGTACTTGTTTTAGAAACGTCATGCTTTTTGGAAGATGGGCCATTGTTTTGGAACATGGTCTCTGCGTTGCCGCATCCAATCAGAAACAAAACCGAGAGGGGAAGACTTGCCTATTGGGAAGCCATAATCCCCAAAGAGTGGTCAGGAAACAAGAGGCAGATGGCTGTGACACCCTGTAATTCCCCTTCCTGGCTACTGTGTTACTGCTGAGGTCACTTAAGAAAGTGACTTATGCGGTGGTAATAGAAGGAAGCTTTGTGTGAGGAGACTTAACGTCTGCAGCATTTCCAGATTCAGTAGAATTTGGAAAGGTCAAAAAGAGCATGCTGGGGTCTGTGAAAGAAAAGGAGGGAGGCCAGTTGTAAGTGGAGGTCTATCAGGGCTGTCCCTACCTATGCGCAAAACATTCAGCCCCGTGGGACACCACGAAATTTGGGACCGCTTCTCTCTGGCTAGCTGTGCAGCTACCCACTGCTCCTCTTGAGTCCTCGGCCTGTGCTCGCTGCTACCCACCTGCTCTCCTGAGGCTTGGAGGTGAGCCTCCCTGCCGCCATGCTCCAAAATTACCAACGCTCTCGGACCGGATGGACCAGATGCCATTGCAGCAAACGGTCAGTCTGAGTGAGCTGGTAACTCCCTGCCCCCCACAGATTGTGCTCCTGCAGCCTCCCTTGCCCCCCGCAGAGCGGCTTTTCCCCCCATGTCAAGGGGAGTGCTGGTGCTGGGCTGCCTAGGGCACCAGCATCGACAGGGACAACCCTGAGTCAACAAGGGTTTGAGATGTGAGCACTGGCAGGGAGGTGGGAGTCATTGTAGTTGTTGTGGTCACCAGCTAGGTGTAGCCACATTAAGGAGTGACATTGAAATGCAGACCAAACCCAAACACTTGCGTGCGCTTGTGCACACACATGCACACACACAAAGGTTGTCTCCAAATGCCTGCGTTTTCTGAGGCAGAGTTAAGGCTGCTTGGGCGACCTTCACTGTGAATCTTTCTTGGAATAAAAGACAGGACTATGCAGCACTTGAAAGACTAACAAGATGGTTTATTAGGTGATGAGCTTTCGTGGGCCAGACCCACTGTTATCCTTAAGGTACAGTTTCTTATCCCGCGTGTGGGGTCCTTGTATTCTAATTTGTGTTCCTGTAAGTTTCCTGTTACCTCAACGCTAAATTGCCTAGTCTCTTGTGGTTACTTTCAGAGCACTCCAAGACCCATATTATAACTATACGCCATAGGGGGCAGACCTAGCATTGCACAGGCAAAGCTGGTGCTTGACTTTGCAACATTACTAGCTGTATTTTGGATGGGGAGGGGCCAAGTATATCACTTTGTCTAGAGGCCAGCAATAAACTACCGCAATATGGGAGCGGTCAGGGATGGGACTGTGACTCAGAGGAGTGTGTGCCAGTCTGGGCACCCCCATAGGGCGGGGGGGGGGGGGGTGGGAGGACGACAGTGGACCTGCCTTTGTTCAGCACCATCCCTAAAGCCCCTGATGAGCACAATGACTGAATTCTCTCCATTGTTACCTTGGGGGTTCCAGGAACTGACTGAGGGTGGGAATGGGATGAGCCGACGAGAGCCAACCTGGCTTTTGGGAATCGACTGAGGGAGAGGAAGGAAAGTAAACAAGAGTTTGAGACATGAGCACCGGCAGGAGGGTGGGAGTCACCCTCTCAGCCCGGCTCGGCGTGTCACAGTAAATGGAAGGAAATGAAAGGTGGAAATCCTCCGAGGAGAACAGCTTGGCGTAACCTTTCCCACTGCACAAGAATATCAGCTTGCAGCCAGCGGTGCTGCTGGTGTACCTTCTAATCAGATACCTTGGGGAATGTTTGCTTCCCTGTTTCCTCAGCAGCCCAATTGCTATAATAACACAAAAGAATTAACACATTGGGACGGGGAACGAAATACGGATTGCTGCAAACACTTCCAAATGATAAGTATCCAAGGAGCCTGATCCAAAGTCCACCTGAAGTGAGTCGGAAAACCCGCATCGACTTCAGCAGGCTTTGATCAGACCCTTGGATTGGGAGCTCTTCACAGCCAGGACTGGACTATCCTGTGTGTCTGGACACAAGCTAGGATCATAGCAGCACCTGTAATAGGCAAGTGCTAAATAACGAGTCATGTTGATTCCTTAAGAAAAAAGGATGCCGATGGATGCCATTCAGCAACCTCCCTGGGCTTAACTTCAGATGGGCCAACAACAGTAGAACAAAAAGGAAACAAAAATAAAATATGTTAAGGTAAATTAATATTCCACCTTCTGCTGCCCGCAAAGGAACCGTTTGTACGATTCAGAGCATCGCAGCCGATTCTGGACTCCTTCCTCTCGGTGCCATGGAGTAAGAAAGTTTTCAAGGGGAATAAGGTCTCAGGCTATGGCTCATAGGAAAGGCCGTTGTAGAACGGTGCTGTCAACTTCCTGTTATGGTGGGTGATCAATGGGAGAAAATCATCTATCGACTTCCCTTACTCCTCGCAACCTAGTGGAGGACCAGAGTTGACAGGGAGGTGATCAGCGGTTGATTTAGCACAGTGGTTGGCAACCTATGGGTCCCAAGCCAGATACTGCTCTTCTGCAGCTCAAGCTCAATTCCCCCTCGCTCCCTCCGCAACAAGGAGCCTGCACTGGCGCTCCAGCCTTGCAGCCCCCCAGCAAGATTGTAACACCAGCGCTGGCTTCCTGCAGAGGGGGTGGGGAGAAAGCACTGAGTGTCCCCGCTAGATCCAGCTTGCACTAATTTGATAGTACAGTCATAATGAGAGCAACTAATAGGCAGTGATTCATAAGAAGCCACCATGTAGGTCTTGGTTCATCAGGAGCTCATGAAATAAACAAAAATGCGGAGTCGCAATTATAGTTGTAACCTCAGAAGTCAAAGAAACAATTAACCCCAAAGGTTGCATAAGTGCCTGCAGGGGCTCATCATGCCCCTACTTTATTAGCTCATCCGGTGGTTCGGGAGATTCACTGCAATATGATTCCCGGGCCACAGATCCATTCCTGTTACATCTGGAAAACCCCCTTGGTGCCCTTGCACAAGCCACCCCAGCCATGGCTGAGTGAAGTTTCAGCTCCTCAGTTTACGCTGACATCTCAGCACACATGAACCTGGGGAAGGGCAGGAATCTAGCCAGAGAGCCCGAAAAGCATGCAAAAAGTACCATGGTCTCCAAGCATCCGCATCTAAGTAGCGTCAGCCCTAACTTTGAATCTCAGGCTACTCCCAGTGTCACACTTGTAATACTATTATTAATAGGGCCTGTGACGGGGCGAGGCAGCCCCGCACTGAACCTACAGGGCACAGCCAGGGTTACCTGGCTGCAGAGGCCCCTCCCCCACAGCCCTACCGAGCATGCCCAGGCTGCAGCAGGGCTATAAAAGCCTGGGCCAGGACTCAGTCAGAGGAGGCA